CCCTATACCACCCCTATACCCTCTATATTCCCCTATACACCCCTCCCCCAACCCCGCCATCCCCAAAAATTTATCAGCGGATTTGGGCTGTACTCAGCAAGCCCAGTACAGCTTCCAACTCAGATCTGAAAAAAAGTTAGTGGATGGTTGTTTTCTGACTGGTCGGCAGTCCGCCGACCGGTCGGCCCTACTGGTCGGCTGCAATACGGTCGGCGGTCGGGGTCGGCGGTCGGCAGGGATGCAACCATGCTTTCCGGGGGCGCGCTCCACGGCGTCCCCAAGAACTGTGAGTGTGTGTGTTGTCATGTTGGTCTGGATGGTGTCTTCTGTGTGTCTGAGGCTTTTCCGAGCTTCAACGCAGTCACAATGAGGATGCGTCTGTCGAACGGTTGGTTTGCTCTCCTTATTTCTTTCTAGAAATAGAAAACGATGAAACTCACAGCTGTTTGCCTTGGTGTTTTTGCTAAAAAAGAAGAAGAGAGAAAGAGAACGTTCGTGACGGCGGGTTGTGCATGCAAAATAAGAATGTATCTAAACCCAGAACGTGGAAAGTTACACCCGCCATATTTCCAGTCCCGTGGGGCTATGGGTCTCGCTCCACTACTATCTGCTGTACGATTTTGGATAGTGGGACACCGCTCCACTTACTATCCAGAATGTACCTTCGGAAATCACCGCCCTCCAAATTCTCCATACGGTCCCGTATTGCTCCCAGCCTGCAAAAGTCGTTACTCGGAGGGTGTTCAAAGGAGGTCGGCATTCTACAGCGAAATCGTATGGAGCACCTGGAGTCTGCCCCGACAAATTGCTGTCTTGTGGTGCTGTAAGGGTGTTTTATAGTGAACTCAGGAAATGGAGACTCATATAGCAGATAGTAAGTGGAGCGATGCCAGGTTTTATACGTTTTTTTTAGCTCTGACTGTCTGACAGCTATACGGCCGCTATACGAAATTGTGTACAGCAGATAGTAGTGGAGCGAGACCCTATTACGGCTTACCTGCCGCCTGAATCCATGGTGAGCGCGGCTTGTTTCGAACTCCCTGTGCCAAACATGCAAAATGAATTTTCAGCGAGAACATGGAAAGATGCACCGCCATTAGTTCTGTACCTGGGCGTTGGAATCTGTCAGAATACAACTGGCCTCCTGTTGAAATGAGTACACATCATGTAACACATGTCCAATGCCCGTTATAGGGCCTTGCTCCACCACTCTCCACATGCACAAACGACAAAAAACATGGTGGTGTATCTTTCCATGTTCTAGCGGAAGATTCATTCTCATTCTGCACATCGTTGACTATTGGAGCGAGGCCTATAGCTTCGCTCAACATTCGGACGCTTTTACTTTCTTATGAACGTAATTGCGGTCATATACATCCAGGTCCAGCTGTAGTGCATCCGATACAAGCTTGTGTGAGTACGCCCTCCGGGGGGGCTGTTCACGAACCGGCCGTGGCTTTTAGGCAAAAAAGAACAAAAAAGTAAAAACATCGACCTATTGGGCAGAACAAAACGCCCTGCTTCCAGAATCCATCGTGTCCGTTGATACGGGCGTTCTGTTCGGTCCAATAGTGTCAGACAGGCGTCATGCGCACCAAAAGGAAAACGACTTGTTTCTTTTTTTCCCCCGTCTTCTGTGGGTGACACACACACACACACACGCACACACACACGCACACACACACACACACACTGTTACGTGCCCAGATGGGTGATGTACATAATAACCGAGGATCCGCAATGTGATCAAAAGGACTGAATGGACAATCCAGTGCAAGTAGATCTCAACAAGCAATGTGCATTCCGATTCATACAAAATGGTGCTGAAGAGCGCAGTGGAAGACTTAGATACAAGTCCTGACCTGACCGGGACTGACCTCATTCACGTAATATCAGATAGCGAAGCAGAATGCTAGAATGCTAATGACTAGCCCAATCAATGTTTGAACGCAAACCAAACATACATCGTGTCCATCACAAAGTGTGAAGGAGCCTGGCGCTGTACACAGGAAGGAAGCGCTAGGTCCAGACATACACAGACGAAGAGGAGGGGATCAGACGAAGAGGAGAGGGAGAGATGGGGATGTCGTCAACACCAAGTCTTTGTCACAAGTCCCAAATAATCCCTCGTTGCAATGTCTGAAGCCCAAAAGTCGAGTCTGGATCCAATGTCACCAAGCTCTCTCTCTCTCTTCTCTCGTAGTGTGCTGATGCAGTGAAGTCAGATAATGAGAGGGTGAGAGGGAGATGGTGGACTGAGAAGAGGAAGAAGAAGAACTCTCTCTCTGTTACGAGCCAGGTAACCTGTGAAGTTGGCGCTGTGCTGCAGGTACCTCGAAGACGAAGCTGGAGCAACGGCGCTGCAGGTAAGTGCCTCTGGCCTCCGCCCAAACTCTCTGTCTCTCTAGTGCTATCCCAGCTATGGCGCCCAGCGCTGGAGACTACAGCTACCTACTGCGCCCAGCGCTGAAGACTAAGGCTATCGCTACTACTACTCCTGCAGCGCTCCCTCCAGAGTGCTGCTGCCGAATCCTGAAGACTACTGCCCCCTGCCTGCCCGTGAAGTGCATGGGAAGTCCCTATGTACTACCTCGGCCTGCCTCCTGACTGCCTGAAGGGCGAGCCAGGCCGAGGAGGCTGCTCTTGCCAATGCCGAAGTGTGCCAGGGGCTGGCGCTGCAGCCTCTGCTGAGGCTGTCGTGGGAACAGGCTAAGAATAGCCTGTTCCTGAAACCCTGGTTCGGTGCCTGAGACTCAGGGCCGGTTGTTCTGATGAACTACCGAAAATGGCCCTTCATTTCAGGCTAAAAAGGCTATTGCCATTTTTAGTCTGAAACGACACAGGGTCTGTACTACTCTGTTGGCCCCTGTTTTCAGGCTTTCGGGCCTGTAGGCCCTGGTTTTCAGGTTTTTAGCCTGAATTTCAGGCGTTTAGCCTGAATTTCAGGCTTTTAGCCTGAGGGACGCAGGGCCTGGAAAATGGCCCTCGTGTGCAGGCGCAGCATGTAACACACACACAAAGAAGGGCACATTCGACAGTGCGCGAGCATGGGGCCCAGCCGCACGTACTCCAGCGCACTGCCCATGCGCGCTCAGGTGCACACGTGCGCAATCAAGCATGAGCGCACCGCACCGCATAGGTGCGTCACAAGTATGGTTTAATCTGATCCGAATTTTATAAAAACTGCTTGACCTTAGTTTCTTCTACATGCCAACTGTCAGCATGACAACAATTTTTGCACCCAGAAGAATAGAGATGCAGAATCGAAAC